GGAGGCTGGGTGGGCTCCAGAGCCGGTCTGGACGCAGAGGCTAGAGGAAAAATCCTCTGCCCCCGTCGGGGATCGAACCCCGGTCGTCCAGCCCGTACCCAGTCAGTATGGAATACCATGTGATTGCGGTAGATAGTATATCGGCGAAACCAGCAGACCTCTGGAGGTACGCTTAAAAGAACACAAATATAATTTCAGACAGGGCCTGCTGGAGAAATCCAGATTGGCCCAACATGCGTACGAAGAAGATCATCATGTCTGTTGGGATGGGGCCAGAGTATTATTAACTGAACCCAATACCATCTACAGAAAATACAAGGAGGCGGCACACATGGCACTACTCGCCAATCCTATCAGCCAGCCTAGTTTGGATTTATCTCCTATTTGGATACCTGTCATCTCTCAAGAAATCCAAGTTGGGCATTGAGTTTCAAGTTAATATTCTTGTGTATTTATTCCCACATTTTTGTGTGTTTTTTTGGCTTTTGGCTTTATTCGTGTTTATGAAATTTATTTTCTACATACTATTCTTTTACGTCCCACAGATGGATGGTGTGGTTATGCCTTTTTATTCCGGGACTTTCACTTTTTAATTTGTCTGGAGATAGGGATTAGCTCTATCTAGTGGGCCCAACTGTGTAGGAATCTGAAGACGGAGATAGAGCCCCATCTCCGAAACGTCGTTTTACGTTTTTTACGTTTTATTACTAGACGATGGATAATATCCAAGTAAATTTTTATTCAATTGTATAAAAAAATTTTTTTTTAAATTCCCTTTATTTTATTTACTTTATTTCAGAGCTTTAAATGTAATACCATTAAATTATGAAAGAGTTTCAATTTACGCCGGTTCGTCCAGGAACTCATCCCCGCCGTAAATCGAGGGCTACCTGTACTTTTATAAATGCAATTCCTCTATTTATTTATGTATTACCTCCCCCTGCTGTACATGTCCACTGGGTGTGGGCCCTGCTCCGTGGCTGTGGACGGACGGCTTGCTGGAATCTGCAATGCATTTTCAACATCATTACAACTCGTGTTATTCACGGCGCCTGGAAATCTCTTACGTCAGCTCACTCAAATTTCCCGCCTTACGTCAGAGCACGTTTTTTTCAGGGGACATGTTGGCTAGACTGAACCCTCTCAGTAGTTTTCTCTACGTCTTAGCGTATTAATGTATTTAGAAACAAAATTAATTGTCGGTATACGTGTACCTACTAGGATAATTAGAGACTGCTATACGTTTATGGTTGATCATAGTTTCAAGGTCAAATGTGTTTATGCTGCCAGAGCTATTTGCAAGGACGTTGATCACATTTTGAACAGCGATTGCATTTGGATTATGGACTTTTTTATAATGCATAAATTAAATGTTCTCTTTTATCATTTTCTGTAGGTTTCATATTGTACATTTACACTCAGTTTCATTATCTGTTTTAATATTATCTTTTGATCTCTTCTTCAATTTTTAAATTTCATTGTATTTTTGTTTTGTTTAAGAGCTTGGTCGTAATTTATTGTTTTTAAATGCCATAATCACGGGAACTAATACGTTCGAATCCCGGTAAAAATTGTTTTTGTAGCTCAGGAACTTAGAACGATAAAGGAACAAAATTGTTTGTTTTGATGGAAGATGCAGGAACAAAGATCATAAACCCAAAAAACTATCCATAGTCCCGTTGACGATACTGAGTTTATGGGTAATTTGTTTCCCCTGTGATATTTAACGATAATTACAAAGCAATCGTGGCCTATTATAAGTTCTCGATAACAAAAAAATTGATTAGAAATGTAAACGTTTGTCGAATTTACCCCTCAGTAAAATTGTGGGGTAAAACAGATATTCACTCCCGATAACTCTGACGTCACTAGCGCCGTGAGCATTAGTTAAACATCGTATTTTGGTAACGTGCCAGAATTATTACACTGCATTCAATGTACGATACCTTCTTGTCCACTTTGCTTGCAGCCACTGCCAGGTAGATCACCAAACTCACGTTGATCACCCAGAGGACAAAGCCACGAGCGCACATTGTCATCAGTAAGATTGGTGCAAGCAGGAGACTTGTTGACAAGTTGGCCAGAGGGAGATAGCTGTCTACAAGACTCTGAAACAGGGGTAGGGTCTACTTAATTACACGGCACAGCGTGGAAAAAAATTAACGAAGTATCAGGGTGGTTCAAGGTTGACCTCAACTTTGTCTTGTTTTACGTCTGCACCAGAATGATGAATCAACTTTCCCAAGCAGATGGTGGCAACACTGCTCTCTCTCTCTCACACACACACACACATTCATGCAGTTAGCGTCGTCGCATTAGAAGCAGAACTTTTGTCGGAGTGTGACATCCCGAGCGTAGAACAGCGCTGTGTCATCAAATTCCTGGTGAAAGTGTAATTGGAACCGGCTGAAATTCTAGTCAGGTTATGTTCACGATCTCGGTGTGTGTGTGTGTGTGTATTTGGTGCCATGCCACGGCGATGGGAAAACTCCGTCGGTGTACAAGTTTAATGTGTATTGAAAAGACGAAATAGTTTCCATGTATGTGTTTTGTGTTCGTAAGAAAAGTTCAAACCAGCCTCGTAAATGCTTAGAATTATATTTGAGCATCACATTGTGGATTTTGTTTTAAAGTAACGCGACTTCCTTGCTTTCCAACAACGCTTGTCATCACAAACCTGTCCTTGTGATAAACTGTCTACGAAATTAAGACAGTGACGTCACATCCAGTGGAATTCTGGGTTTAAAGACTGTTTTTCTGCCCTCACCACAGCGTTGTAGGATTTGTAGATGCGTTGATAACAAATACAATTTACGTGCCGCATTACGGGTATTCATTTGTTAATATCGAAAAAATATATTCAGCTCAGTAGTAATGTGAAATTCTGAGTTGGAAGTCATATAACATGGATTATTTTTAATTTTGAGTACACGTTGCTCTCTGAATAATACATAGTGACCATTAATTAAAGTAAATTTTAAAAAAAACAACATTTAATTCCGTTCACGTACATGGGAAAGGCCAAACATTCATGCGCGCTCAATATGGCGTCTCCCCGCAAACTCGGCACCAGTGCCATCTGATTGCAGTCTCGTCACCTACTGTACTCGCTCCATAATCATCGACACTTATTACAGGAACATGGATTTCGTCTCCCAGTTCGGATAAGGACCATGACAAAGGAGGAACAAACATTGTCCTTGAGGTAATCCCAGAATTGTGATACAGAATCAGAATCTGCTACATTGAGAAAGAGACAAGACTGCATTCAGTTGGGGCGTGTGCCACTTCGAGTAACTGAAGTGCTTGAATGTTGGTTCTTATTTTCTCGGCGTGAGATGTAAATAAAGGAAAGTCGCGAACGTTTTAATCTGTACTTCAATTTGTGGTCATTTTGTATATTAGGTCCATTTCTGAAATGGCTAAATCCTTGTTTACCCTTCCAGTTGAGAGCTATAGATTTTAAATCAAATGCAAAGATTTATGTGCAATGTTTGTAAAGCTTGAAATTTGCAAATATGGCGACGGAGCGAAATTTTTTTTAAGTGAAATCCAAAACTATTTATGTTGCTACGTAAATTTCGAACTTGCCGCTTATTTTTAGTAGTTAATGGAATGTAAATTTTCGAAACGATGTCAGGGGTGAGTTATATCACCTGCATGTTGCTGTAATCCACTCCGAAGGCCACTGCGCCTGCGAAGTCAATCGCCGATACTGCAGAAGTCACTGTTACCCACCCGATTAAAATTGTGGACGTGAACTTTGAGGCGTAGAAATCTGAAAGCGAAAAAAGAGAGTTTTCAGCGTAACGACTGATCGTTCTGCGTCACAAATGCCGTTATTGGCACTCGTTTAAAGAATAATTCTACGACGCACTACAATGCAAACACATGTGATAAAAGAAACTTTTAATACTTCGACATGTTTAATTTTTTAATCTAATTCAGGTTTGGTTTTAACGTGTAATTTTATCGTTATTTCTCAACAATGGGAAGACAAAATGCGATCCCAGGTACAATATTAAAATGGAATTGATCCAAAACATGTTTTTCTGGCGAATTGACAACGAAATGTGCACTTATCAACTCTGAATCGTGCCTCAATCCGTGCTGAGATAGCAAGTTGATAATGATTTTGGTGTGGACAGTCAGTTTACAAGTGTAATAACTAGACAAATAGTTAACTTGCAGTAACTATGCCGTTTGCAGTTAATCTAGTAATGTGTGTTTGTGTACGTGGTGGACGCCGTGAGTCATGTAAATAAGGTAGCAACTCCATGACGATCTCTGCTCGACCCAAACTTCCGGAGAGCGTCAGGTCGATAGAAAATCGATGAGAGAGAAGTCGAAGCGTCAGGTCGATATAAAATCGACAAGAGAGAAGTCGAAACGTTAGGTCGATAGAAAATCGATAAGAGAGAAGTCGAAACGTCAAAATTATTTCCTTGCGAAGCCCGCAACAGTATAGTGCCTAACGTAGGCAGAACGATGTCATGGCAGTGGAAGAATATTATAAAATAGGCCTCGACATATACCACGTGGTGATCAACAGTTAGGTGGCCGAGATATTTTAATGTTGAATATTGGAAATCTAGTGACAACTTCTGATGTTGACTCGTGGGGTTACCAAGCCTGTGTAATCATTGTGAGTTATTTTACGTGCACGTGGTAGTAAGAAAATACTGAACCAGATTAACATTATTAAAATTTTGATAAAAGGAAGCAATAAAGTTTATGCTGATAAGATGTGATCATAATTGCAACACATACGGAAAGTGTAAAACGACACAGAACTCATTTTGCTTAAAAGTAACTTGAACAGAAATGTAAATGTTATCGTGTGTGTCGCAGGATATACGAAAAATAGTTCTCTGCGATGCCACACTCAGCGCGCAGAAGTCTTTCTGTTCTACTGCGCAGTCGTCCCGTGACAGCAGGAGAGGGTAAGTAGTGTGTACACGTGATATGATTTCCATTTTGCTCAGTAGGTTACGCCACGCCACTCGAGTTCCTAAACCGTTCTACCCGAAGCGCCCTCGTTAAACATCTGTAACATGTTGGTCGCATAAACTTTATCATACAACCAAATCAAATGCATTAAATTTTAATTCCTATACCTTTCTTTCCTTGTGCAATGTTACGATAAAAATTATATATATTTTTGTGCACACCCTGTACTTACACGGAAGTTAGTGATAGATTTTGAGACAACAAACAGTGCTCTAGGTTAGGTTAGGTTAGTGTATCTGTAGTTAGGACTTACCGTGAAGTAGGAGCCCAGAAATCAGAAGCCATATTACACTCGTGGCGAGGTAGACGGACGTCCAGATGACGACTGTCCCCGGTTTCATTATATCCGGGCTTACGCCCCCTGGAAAGCAGTTATAAAAGAATTGGATTTAGAACCATTCGCGTGTTTACACAGAATTGGTCTACGGTTCTGTGAGACGCAAGCAGATTTTGTGCGTGTCAGACCGTCGCGTAACTCGGGGTTCGTACAACGCGGATTCGATTACACGCGTAAAAGTAAATGAGAATAATTCCTGCTACGTCTTGTAATCCATTTTGGTCCCATAACCACCCGCGGCCTGAGTGACTCTGACGCATTTACCGTTTTAAGTCGTGTCCCGTTTGACTGTTCATGATTTTTGCGAGTTGTAGTCAAAAGTGATGATAACGCGAAGGAGAGCTATAAGGTTGTGACACTAGACGATATTAAGTTCGTTAAACGCGGATTTCTCGAAAGCGTCGCTTCTGAGGAACGTGTCTCCCTGGTTGGACGAGGGTCTACTTGTAGACGGACGTTTATAAATGTCCAACTTGGCTTCGAACGTCCGAGAAAGCAAAGTATAGTGTGTTTAAGAAAGCAGGACAGCGGTGGATGTTCGCAACATCGGAATTAGATAAACAAACTTTAGCAATCGCTCTGACCGTATTAATAATATCAATGATCATTCTTTTATATATTCACTAATACGTGTTATTGGTATTGCGTGTATTTTAAGGTTATTATTAATATTACTATAATCTTATCGTCTTATTTTCCTGTGAAATTGACGTGCGTCATACGTTTTCCCGCGAATGGTGATTTTCTCCAGGACCGCGCGCAGATAACTGATCTGTGCGCGCTATCTGTCGATATATCTCGTAATTATTGTTATCCGCGGATTAACGCGGTTTGTACTTGTGGTAACTTTACTTTGAAGACGGCTGTCTTCTGGGTGTTTGCCGTCGCGAAAACCTAAAATCTCCCTTAGCTTCATTTTATTTTATAATTAACTTTTCCCTTAAGTTAGTTTATTTGTTTCACATTATTACGCGTGTTGATTAAATCTTATGAATTTCTTGTCATTATTATTATTATTATTATATTTTAGTCGTGAAATCTGAATGTAAGATACTAATTGGAAGACCTGGGTGTATATGGGAGGATAATATTAAAATCGACTTTAAAGTCTGCGGGTAGGTTCATTTTACGCAGGACAGAGGCCTTAGGTTAGGTTAGGTTGTCACGATCCGTGGTAATCTGGTTTGTGACGCCTTCCGAACCTGTGGATCCTTACCGACGTTTCGGCCGTCAAGATGGGAATTACATATTCCTCTGAAACGTTTCAAATGAACACGTCCAGACCCAAAAGGCCATCCCTTTGGACACCACATGAAACGAGAGAGCTGAGCTGCTACTATCAGCGTCTCGAGGACTCTGTTTCGTGGTGTCAGTTTTGATGTACGTACCGTCAGGATGGAAGTACACCATCACCAAAATTTGTGCGAAGTATTTCGATGGAACTATTATCTGTGGGAATGGGATCACGTCTGTGTACGCAAGAATTCCGAGAAGAGAGAGGATGCCCCATATGAGTGCCTGAAACTGAGGAAAAACACGGAGTCAGAAGGGCCTCTGGCTGAGTGCGCCGGATGCAATGTGGTTATGTGTCGACTTCAGTTTCACTAAAGGACACACAAAAAAAAGAAATCGATTATTTACTTTACGAAAATCGATTCTATCGTTCAGCAAAGCGCGCACCTTTCGACCTCGTGGATGTTCTGTAAACGAATCACAAAATTTATTAATGTGAATTAAATTACTCGTTCTTTTTATATTTTAATGATTCAAAAAGAATATTTATTTAGAATTATTTTTATATAATTCGGACCCTTTCTCCCTGTCTGTTCGATTTACTGAGGTTTTAGTATCGTCGTCGTGTACCCGGAACCCTGACGCTCCGAAATCTCTTAATTCGGAGCACGTGCGGGAACAAGGCATAAGAAATACTATTATTTAGTCGATCAAACGTTAAAATGTGTAATACATGATTATACGCGTTTTTAAAATCTGAATGATTTTCAGACGAATTTTTCATGGACAACAGATGTTAACATAAACCAGTATTATGTCTAAATTGATCCGACACGAAACTTAAACTCATGTTTGATTGCGAGGGGGTAGCGTGAGTCTTGTTGACCGTCTCCTGGCTACAAACGAGTTACATCGGTTGGAAAGTCGAATGTATATTGTATACAGTATCAGAGGAAGGAAAGCTTTAATGTAGTAAGTTCAGATCGTGAGACATTTCGACGCTTTAACAAGGAAATATTTGTCCTTCAGTAATCGTAATCTCTTCAGAGGGCGCTTTGGCTATGAAATCACGTGTAGCAATGAAGACCACAGTCGTAGGTTCATCCTGAACTGTTGAGTCACCTTGAAGCCCGTTTTTAGGTTAGGTTACACAGTATTTTTAAATCCTCCAATACTACTTTTAAAACAGAGGAAGTAATGTTTCCTGTACTGGAACACGCTTATTATAACTTTAAGTAACTCTGAAATTTACCCTCAAGGATATATTTATGGCTTTATTATGATTTTTAGAATAAACCACGAAAATTTATCGTAACACAAATAACCAGTTGATCTTTGTAACGGAGAATCTTTGTGTCAGGGACTTAATGTTTTAATATTCTCCTTGTTCCGGTGGGTTCAGGGATATTTAACACGTATACGAGGTGCGATCGGAAAGTTTAAAGACTGTCAATAGAGGGCGAACCGGATGTAGTACGAGCTTCTGCCGCTAGGGGGTGCGGCCTACATTCATAGTGAATCAGTGTGCGAGCCGGCATCATCGAATTAGCATTTGTTTCTTAGTTACGGGCGTTTTGGTAAATTGAAAATTCAGCTAAAGGGAAGGAGATTTGAGACGATAGAAGAGATTCAGGCAGAATCGCAGATGGTGCTTGACAGGCTGACAAAGAAAGATTTCCAGGGATGCTTCCAGGCTTGGCAGCGGCGCTGGGATCGTTGTGTTCACTCCCAGGGGAACTACTTCGAGAGTGATGGATGAATTTAATACCTGAGATAAGTGTACGGGTTTTTATAGGCGCAGTCTGGAAACTTTCCGATCGTATATACGAAGTATAACTCGTTTGTGCAACAGTGATATTAAGTTAGACGTGGCCACGTTTTATCAGTCCGTAGCTGAAGACAGATGAAAGTTAGACAAACAGGAACATTTATTTATCAATGCAGAATTAGCTGAAGGCTGACCCAGTGCTGGAGATGTTAATGACAAATACTCACAAGGCCCAGTCCTCCAGCTGCGATCCCAAGAGGTCGGAACAGAGGCGATTTGACCACCATCGTCGCACCAACAGTGAACAGGACACGATGTAGACTGTAGTTGCCTCCGGAAAGACCGAAAACTTTTATCTGGACATTTCACTGAACAAAGAAATTATCTAGACGTGTTCACTCAGTGGCGTTTGCCCCGGATGGATTACTTCTCTCCTGTTGCAACAGTTCGCGCGTTCTTAACGAGTGTGTCACGAAGAATCTGCCTCAGGAGACCGCCACGTCATCATCGCGATATCGCCGCCCGTTTATCACAATTTAATTGAGATTATCTCGAAATAGTCGGAGATTAGAGCTGGTCCGATCGCGCTGAATCGAGTACTGGCGCTGAAGTAGTTGATCAGCTGTCCAATAAATTCCTCGCCTTTCGTGGTAATTCATTGCCGTCTTGACAAACTCGGTACAATCCATCGATTTGGTACTTTCGAGAATTTGCGTCAAAAGTTTTATCTTTTAAGTCTCTGTTTGAGTCAGGTCAAAATGTTTACGTATTTGTGTAGACTTTAATACCATCGATGATTCAATCGACATACTCGATAGTATTTTGAGTGGGACAATGACGTCATCGTCACGTTACCACAGACGAGGTCCTTGACGACCGAATCATGACAGTGTAATTACCAAAACTGAGTTACTTTTAAGATTGGTTTTATGAAAGCGGACGGACAGTCGCGTCTATAAATTTTTGCTGTAGAGTCGAATTGTCGTGTAGACTCACAGACTCTTTGGCGTAATCGTACGTAGCTCAAAATGTGCCGGTCTACTGGCACGTGGAATGAAACAACAGTGTCTGAGGAAAATCGTGAAATATATAAGGCGCGTTAGAATCTTTATGGAGGTTGAGCTGTTTTGTTGGTAATTCGTCGAATATTTTTGACAGCTCATTGGTTGGCCATGGTTCGTATTGTAAATTATCGAATTATCTCGTAAATGTTAGATGTAGATCATCGTCTTATCTGGCGAGTGTGTGATAAGTCACGAGCAGTGGCGTTGCTCCGGTTTGTTATAAATCAGAACCAGTGGCGTCTGCGTATGGCCCACAGCCATTTTGACTTACTCGATGGAACTGCGTTTGTCTTGTCGTGGACAATGTAATTAGGAAGGCTTTGTTAATAGGCACGTCTTGAACCTGACTTATTCTGAATCACTCTGACTCACGTAAGCGACCTTCATCATAAGAATATTTGTCTTAAAATTATTGTTGATATTTTCTCTATTAATTTTAAGAGTTTAAAGTGGAATTACTCTGATCATTACCCCAGTGATGTACACTGCTTTGCCAGCCTCAGGCCAACAGATTAAACATTACGATCTGGGTACTGTAAGAAATTCATCTGCCAGTTGTGGTGTCTTCTTCTGTTTAAAGCAGCTCAGTCTGTCTTTGAACCGAAAAACGTCCTTCGACTTTCCGAATGTTGAAACACGATAATTGTTACCTCTACGAGAGGCGGCGATTTGATATCTCTACCAGCAGTCTGGCTATCATGACAGAGGCCCTTCGTAGTTTCACTCAGGCACTCCCGTATAATGCTCGTGTAGGTAGCTTAAAGTGGGTCACAACCGCTGCTGCACACAGACTTAAGCGCTGTTAACATTCAATCCAACCTAACCTAACCTATACTAACCTAAACTAACCTAACCTATACTAACCTAACCTAACCTAATGTAACCTAACCTAAACTAACCTAACCTAACCTAAACTAACCTCACCTAACCTAACCTAAACTAACCTCACCTAACCTAACCCAACCTAACTTAACCCAACCTAACCTAAC